GCACTTGTACCTTGTAAAGACCTGCCAACAGCACTCAGATAAGCCTGCACAGGCTTCCTTGTTAAAGACCCATAGATTCCCTTAACTAAAGTGACTCGCACCATTTCGCAGCTTTGCGGAAGCTAACATGCTTGTAGTTAATATAAAGCGCCGAGATCACAAGGCGAACAGTGCCCCTATACAGCAAGGGTGAGGAAGAACCAATGCTAGCCCCACTTGTACCTTGCACGGCATAGAGGGTTTATTCCTTTCGCTGAAGCTCATAACATGCCTTCTTGACCAGTACACCCGTACATCTAAATGGGATTGATGGAAAGGAAACGCAAGCACTGTAGCCACAAATGCTCCGAAAATTTACCATCTAGCTGTTTAAAATTGAATTACCTTGAAATGGTGAGCGATACCTCGGCTTAATGCATTGTTCACAGTCTGCGACCCTGACGAAAGGTTCGGCGAAAGCAATAAATACGTATCGATTGGGAATCGCCACTCGCTCGGGCAAAACGCCGGCGCGGTTCGGCGCTTCGGCGAAAAGGGTTAGATATGTATGTTCCCTGACTGCGCCCCAGAGAAAAACTTCAGAGCAGACGGCGCTAACGCTCTCGCGCAAGCGAAACGGTGAACCGCCCGTCGATAAGCAACAAGACCGTTTCGCGCAACTGCCGAGCTCGTCGCCGAAATACCTGTGGATACGTTTCAAAAACTTTCCGCGTGAGCTTTTCTTTCGCGAGCGTCTCTGTGAACAATGCCTAACGTTTACCAGATGTTGGTTGTTCTCCATTTAAAGTACCTCTCTCTCACCTCTCCAATGCTGAGTAATTAAAAGTTCTGGGGACCTTTTTCCAAATGGTGCAAGGTTTGCAAATCACCAGAAAACTTCGAAATTTTTGATGATTCGATTTTTTTCTCGAAAATTTAACACGTTTCTAGTGATTACGGTAGCCAACACGCCAATGGCAGTTTCGCAATGGAGGTGGATGAGGCCAGTACTGTTAAACAAGAGGTAAAATTCTGACTCAAGAAGAGTAAAATGAGCATGTCTTTTGAGCCGGTTACTTTTAGCCACCTTTGGGTTCGTTCGAAGCGGCACTCGCTGCTGCTGCAGCTGGGGCTACACACCGAAAGAAAGAGAATGCTCCGCCACCAAAGAAGGTAGAACTTATTGCAGGAAGTAGCCTAGAATCGGTTTACTATCCACATTGATGTTTCAGATAAAAGAAGAGTACTCTGACGATGATGACATTCCTTGGGCTGAACGTATGGCTAAAGAAAAGAAGGATAAGCCATCCGAGAAGAAGAAGGATAAGAAAAGAAAGGGTGGAAGTGACAGCGAAGATGAATACAAACCAGAGGTCCGCTCTTGTATATTTTGAAACCACTGTGCCAAAACTTTTTAATGTGCAGTGCTTGTTCTGCATGCTTTTTGTTGCGAACTTCTTGGAGCGGCCGACTATCAATCTTCACAAACTTCTTTATGTGGATATGTGTTGTGTGTGCATTCACCTTGCATGATGGTTTTCCTTGTTATGTCGGGATGCAGTCGTTCACCAACAGGACTGGTGTTGGATATGAAACATAGTAGTAGCCATGGTGCCCGAAGCTTCATCATGTTGGAGATGGCCTAAATATGCCCCTCTTTTCAAAAGTTTTATTGATGACGTTTCGGGCCTGTGCCCTTCCTCTGATCAAGTAAAAACTCAAACAAATTCAACTTACAGATAGAGCGCATTGGTAAAAGAACAGCAAAGCATCTTACCAGAAACGTCTCACGAAAGAGGGAAGAAGGGAGGAGGTAGTCAGTCCAGGAAGGTATTGGTAGGAATATGGAAATAAAGGTTCTGCGGGTTCCCAGGTAGAACAAC